AATGCGACTCTGGACTCCAGCCCGCTAATGGCTGGACTGCACTCGTCCGGGAGTCACTTACTCACATTCTATTCCTTCTGTATTTGGTTAAATTATCTATAACACTCTGGCCTTCCACGCCTTATCTTATCTAGTAGTTCATAACCGTTTGGATACGTTCTATATTCTATTATCCAGCCGGACTACTTCGTATCCCACAATACTAAGGAAAATAGTTCAATCTGTCCACTTACAACACCACTGGTTAAATTTCATTCTATATCGAGAATAAAGGGGACACGACGCTCTTGGCTTAATTTGCACAAAAGGATTTGCATCAGGCTTCAAAAAGGGCTTGGTGCAAAACATCCAGACTTAAGCTCCCCGCGAAACAACAGTAGCAGTACTAAAACATATTTTTTATGAATAGGTGGACCGTCAAAGGAACCTTAATGACTCAGTGAACTACAAAAACCGATGGAAACAACCAGCTGACTTCCGGTCTAAAGCGGTTTTGCTAAAAAGATAAAAGGCCGCTTAAAGCATTCGCGCCGAACATTCAGATCAGTTGAACTTCCCTAAGGACTAGAATACCCGAAGATGAAGCATGCAAAATAAAGCACGCAAAGCTCAGGTTATTATACTTGTACTTGTTGCTGTTGCGATCATGACTGATCGAGCCGGCCTCGATGAGGTCCCGTACGCTGCTTCTCAACGCGCGACGATCCGTGACAGCAGACCTGGACAGTTCGAGCCATTCGCTTCGCCAGCGCCGGAGACCGAATACCGAAGGTCGAAGAACCACTTTCATGTCCTGAAGGACCGAGTCGAGTCAGGTTTTGAGTTGACCCCCACTTCGAAGTTTCCAGTTAGGTAACGGTTTCGGGTCGAGGGCAGTAACAGTGAGCTCGTGAGGTTGACGACGAAGAAGGCGTCCAAACCACCTCAGTCGTCCCGCTTGAATTGCCTGGGATATCCTTACGATGTTGTCGCAGCGAGTGCGAACTGTCTCATTTGAGATGAAGTCTGTGTACTTCACTCGAAGGATGGTCTTCAAGCAGTCGTGGTCAAAGACTTCCAGCTTCCGTCCATCTTCCACGCACATAGCCCAGCATTCGTATCCGCATAGAAGAGTTGACCGTACGGAACAGGCGGAATTTTGTAGAGATATAAATATCGCGTCGGGCCCATAGGCACTTTCGAAGGCTGAGGAAAACTCGTCGAGCTGCGTCAACTCAGGAGAAAATGTCATCCTTACTCTTTCCATTCGGCAGCAGCCTCGCTCCCATAAATTCCAAAATGTCTACTTCTCCATGTTAACAGCCACTTATCTCGAGAGGTGCCTTCTCTTGGGCGGGGATGCAACATAAAAACACTTTGGCTTCCCAGTGTTTATAGATAAACCGACCGATTTCGCGTCTTCGTTCAGGGGTGACACCACAGACTGTCGATCGCCAAAGCTTGAAGCTAGTAAAGCGATATTGTCGCCATAGTCGAGGTCAGTCAACCGGCGTCCGGGTGCAAGCTCAGTGCCATCGGTTTCCTGTAGGCCCTTCCCGAGAACCCGGTCAATGACGTAGTTAAAGAGGATGGGCGACAGGACACAGCCATGTCGAACGCAAGACCGAATAGCGAAGGTTTCTAAGAGGTTGTTGTTTACTAGAACCCATGCAGAAGTGGAGCGCTCGTATACCTTGATCGTGTCGAGTATTTTGGTAATTATGTATGGTTACTATGTATCCTCACTACTCATTATTGCCGAATTTTGCGTGTAATCATCGAACCTATGGGGTTGGGGTGGGGGTGAGTGAGCTGGTGTACAAATTT